TAATATTAACGGGAATGCGAGCATTCGAATTGAGTTGTATTAGAGCTTGAAATGATGGGAATACTATGGTTCATCTCGCACTATTTTTTCCACATAGAATAAAGGTTTTGAGAACAGTATGCCATCTCCATCAAGAGTTTTTATTTCTTCGGCCATTCCTCGGTAATTGTACAAATTTGCGATACCCCATTATGTATTGTGTTGTCTCGAATGCGATCAAAACAATAGTAATCGATTGTATGAAGTTGTAAAGGAGATACTTACAAGCGCTATGGAAAACTCTTGGATACCTCAAGTAATGGAAGCACTTGATTAAAGCTGACAATTGTTTATCTGTCATCAACCATATATATGTAGAAGTGCACAAGTTTTGCGGTAGAAAACACACGACTGTTCAAAAACTATATACAGTATATATAATTTTAAGACAGCGTGGTTTAAAAATTTTATTGCAATGGTTGAAAGGTTATCTGACGAAGATAAGTCGTTATTCAAGGAGGCGTTCAATAGTTTTGTTAAAGAAGAAGGAGGCCCTATTCAGGTTGAACAAGCTGGAGACGTTTTAAGAAAAATGGGTCTTACTCCGACACTCGAAGAAATAGAAGAATACAAACTGGTATTTGGTTAATATATATTTATTATTTTGCATTCTCTTTTGCTGCTCTCGATATATTACGATTGTTCTCCTAGTCATATGAATGGGCACAAAATACCCATCATGTACTTTTCTATATGCGCATTACTTGTATATATATATATATATATATGTTATTTTCAGGAAATTGATCCGCAGTATATGGGTGACATCAGCTATGAGACAATGTTAGATTTATACGCCAAACTCGTAAAACCGCCACATGAACTTGAAGACGAAATAGCAAAGGCATTCAGGTAATGACTTACTTACTGTGTTCGTTAATGTTGTGGGAATATTTTGGCTTGAGAGTGGGCTTCAAACAATATTGTCTACGCCGTAAGCGACAACAATGGGTAAATCCGAAACAATTGGCTGATTCCGATACACCATTCAATGAGGATGGCATCGCAGTAGAAATATCGCATTGCCTAAAAGATTATGTTCGCGTGTCGCGATGGATATTCGGGCACAGAGAAACACGGGTTGGATGAACCATAAATTGAAATATTTTTTGAAGTCGCAGCGCATATAGTCATTATAAGCTTTTGTGTTGGAATATTACGTCATCGGTAGAGCTGAGCATTTCGATATTCGACGCATCTTGTTTTTTATTTCTGCCCGCGAAAGGACGAGGTGAATCCCTCAAATTTTTCATTGAAGCCATATTTTCGAAATACAATTTTAACATATAACTCCTTTCTTCCCAGTGACTTATTGAAACATGTTTCTTATTGTGTGTAAATACTCAGCGAATTGGGTGATGATGATGAATGTTTGTATCGGATGTTTTCTCATATATATATATTTATATATGAATTCTACAACCAACCGATTCGACAATGCAGTTTCTTTGCCATACCTTGCGAGACCTTTTTTAAGTTAGATATATATATATATATATATAGGCAATCAATCCATGTGATTCATCCACGTAAGTTTGATGAATTTACAGTTTGATAGTGCAAAGTTGTATTCTTAAACAGTTCGGGATTGGAAATATTTAGCAAGCGTCATTCCGATTTTAACCACAAAATTTTTGGTTTATTTGTGTTAGATTTCGCGGAGTATCATTTGTGAATATATCGCCCAAATAATCGCCGTTATCTCGTTATTTGTGTCTACAGTCAGAATAACGTTGAAGGAAGTTTATTAAATGCGAATAAATACATATAATATAAATGCATACTGTGAATTACAATACTTGAATGAACTTGTTGAATAAACAACATGATTTAAACGTGTGTATACAATATATTCATAGAGTTTTTATAGTTTATTTTAGGTTTCGGACATCCCTCGTACAGTTCCAATATTTAACATATTCTTTAATTCAATCATAGTTTGCTCTTCTTTCTTCAACACGTCATTCATACCAACACCATACCATTCCTTCATTGAGCAATAAACTTGGCGATGGAAATTGAGAAATAGTCGGCCGTAAAATTTCATTATCATATTTTCCATGACCTCTTGCAACCCCCTCCACATAAAATTACATTTGACAAGTTTATATACACACATGTGCGGTTGGGCTGAATCCTTTTGTTTCAGTTTCTCCATCCAATCTTCCGCCAAAGGTCCCCTTGCAATTCCATCTCTTGAAAATGTGAATTCTTTCGGATCTGTATTTGCTGTGTAATCTCTTGAGTCGACTGGGTTATTCACAATGTCAACGTTTATCACTTGCCTTTTATCCAGTTCATCATTAGAGAGATCAAAAATGTTTTCTATTTCTCCAAAATCTGACACATGCTTTGAATCAATTAAAACAAAGAAACTATCTTTCATATAATCGTTAGTAATTGTGGTTTTGCAATGGGATGGATACCCGCTGAATGATTTTCCATGTACTTCGAGAGATCCACTTGGTGCCAGCTTTCTTATAATAGACGGTATTTTTGAGTATAAATGGTATATTTTATGAGTGTATTGATGCTTCCCATGCTCCTCATTCTCACCTGGTTCATTCGTCACCCATTCTACACCTTCTCCGCCTCCAGTTTCTTTCTTATTTGCTTCAGTGACAGACCAACTTTGAGCGAACTGAAATTCTTCCACATTGATTGGTAAGACGATGCGAAATTCTTTGATAATCATATTGACAAAAAGAAATACTAAGTAAAACACAACTCTTTGAATAAACAACAAAGATATATATTTATCGGAATAGAATAAATTTTAACAGAGTTCAACTTCGTATCGCGTAAGATCATGACGACATCGGTTCATCGCAAAAGTAAGAAACTGATGTACATGGTATTCATAAATATGTTTACAACTTGTAAAATTGATTAATGAACTGTACAATATATATATATATATTTAAGGTCAAAACGATATCTGGACACCTTGTATATATATATATCTTGAAACATCCATGACTGTAGTAGGTTTCGCTACTAACAACAATTTTGTTGCTACTTTAATCAAAATTCAAACCAAAAATATATACCTGGTGTGACATTTGTGTAATTGAAACAAAAGACTGAAACTCAATAATGATTTCAGGCATTTTTACCACCAACCTAGAGCTCGCATCAAATTTAAGTTGACCAATATTTGACAAGGCTTCAAGAGGACGTTAGTAGTCTTTTAGGTTATAAATTCAAACAAATAATACAGGTTCTACCCAATCAGAATGTCGCCATCAACAAACACACTTGAACGTTAGCTAACCGCTAACGTTAGTAGTCTTTTAGGTTATAAATTCAAATAAATAATACAGGTTCTACCCAATCAGAATGTCGCCATCAACAAACACACTTGAACGTTAGCTAACCGAAAAGCATAATGCTGTCTGTGCAGTCATAACCTGAATCAAAATTTCTCTAACAATTGCTGTGATTTTATGCAAACCAAGAACTTTATCAACCATTCTGCCTCTGCAGATTTTTGAAATACTCCACTTCAAAATTTATTCAAATTGACAGTCTTGTGCGCTGGATTTGGGGTGGATTGCAAAAACTGTTCTTGGTGATGTTCATGTTTTCAGTGTCACTCACTGACTGAGAGCATCGCAGTCAACAATAGATTTTAAATCCAGCAGCTCTAAATAATGCGCCATAGAAAATACAAAATGTATATATATATATATATATCAAATATTTGTCCATCATGTGGTAGGAGTGATTCACGTTCCACTCGATCAATCATTTTTAACGTGTCATATATTAATAGCTATGGTACATCAGTTTCCTCTTCATTATTAAACTTATAATGATTGCAAAGTGTGCAACAATATTAATCAATATCGATGATAGAAACTATATACGTGTGCGATGTCCTGAACAGCACCTCTTGGCGAAATGTTTCCGTGTTAGAGCTTATATGAAAAGAACTTCTGAACCCATATAGCCATAACGATTTTCCTATAGTTATAAAAATTATTCTAATTATATCACTGTAATGAAGCAATTGAAATACCCGTCCAATATGTGTCAATCTCTGCACACATTCATTTCTTTGCAATATTAATTGCTGTTATTTATCAATTATTGCATAAATGCATAAGTTGTTCAATTCAAACTATTCAATTATTTTGCGTTATTGCCTCACAATTGTGATTGACATTGCTTCGATTTGATACCGCTGCATATTATGTATGTTGAAAAGTGAAATCGCTGGTGGAAAACTGAAACCTTGTGATAAGATATTCATTAGATTTGGTAAAACATAGAATGGATAGAACGTAATATTGTTTATCAAAATACTGAGATGATTTTTATTGGTTTTTGCAAAATTATTGCCTGATTTAAACTAAAGCAATTTTCTATATAAACTATATTTTCATATGTACAATGCACATAACTTTAATTGCCTCCGCAATACTGGACATGCAATTGCACTTATATTGTTTGTGGAAAGTTACGTGGAAAGTTTCTGAGCAATATTTTGGTATTGCTCATGTAGAAGAAAGTACAAATTATGTCCCAAAATTTTGGGTAAATTCTCATTATTGATAATTTAAATTCTAAACAAGTGCATGCGTGTCGTTGACGGTCATTTCATTTTCAGTTTGCTTCTTTATGGCATGAACAAATGATAAATCTATCTTAAATATTATTCGAAACTATTGTGGCTACATTTAACAGTTCAAAAGTCAAATGGTGTTATTATATAATGACATTATGTTGTTACTTGTTTTCGTGGCGTTGTGTTTGTAACGTATGACGCTTCGTGATCTTACTATTTCTGTTAAATTCTTGTGGATAATGTAGGAATTTCCAACAACCGAGGGCATTCCGAATTATACAAATAGGGATAACAAATTTTTTTTTTGACAAAGCAGCAAAATATTCGTATATATATTTTTTGACTATAGTAAAAAACGAATGAAATACCTGAAATTACATCAAAATAACATTCGCAGTCGTCTTGTTACTTATCGATCTTTAGATCGGTAAGTATGTTGATAGGTATTTGTCTGTTTGTCTGTTAGATGCACGCGATACCTCACGAACGCGTGGCTGATTCTGCTCCACCAAATTTGGCATGTGCATTCATCATATCTCGGACCAGAAGCCTATTGATTTTGGATAATTATGTCGTATAATTAGCGAGTTATTAATTAAATAGTGATGGGACACGCGGTGTCACTATAGGGTCATGAATCGAAACCGCTCGTGAATTTTTAACAGAAGATTCACATCCTGTGTTCATATTCCTCCGACATAATTGCGATTATCTTCGATATTTTTCGACTCATTACTGCGAGCTAATGGATGGGCTGGATGATAAATTCTCTCTTTGGTGAAACTAAAATTGCAATTTGTCAACCATTACCCATGGCATTTTTATCTTAATTTTTCTTAATTTTTGCGAGATCACTGAACGAAAGCCGCTGAGGAGGGTTTTTAGTGAATAGCATCTGATAACAAAAAATATGATCCAGCGTCAAATGCCTGAAATGAGATTGTGTCAGGCGCCCGACTGGTCTTTCACCCGTAACAATTTATTTGATTATTTAAATACGTGTTTATCTTGATTCTATTTCAGAATTCTGGATAAGGATAAAAACGGATTTATTGATGCTACTGAACTTCGAAATACATTGACTACCATTGGAGAGGCATTAACAGAAGACGAAGTTGACGAAATGATTGCCTACATGGACACGAATGGGGATGGCAAAATTCTTTATGAAAATTTCATTAAAGACGAACCGGGACCTACTGCGGCACCGGAGGAGTAACTCTATAGCCAGTTATTCTCTGTTATTATTTCATTTATAAATTATACATATTATTTTCTCGAAAGTTTAAGTGTTGTATATATAAGCTTAAACAATGCTGTAGTGTAAGGTAAGCTTTAGCCGCAGAGTAATGTAAAAGAGCAAGCCAGTACAATGACCAGAAATAAGCTGCAAAAATAGCGAGGGAAAACACATAATAATACCTCTCAAGTCTGAAACGTGTCATTTGTCTTCCACTATGGTTAAAAAAATTGCATTCAAACTCTTTACATTATTGTTCTATGTGAAAATGGGCCTATATGCTTATAAATCCAATTTCCTATTCACCAAAATGGTAGCTAAAACTATATTATGGGCACATATGCCCTACTTCGTGCCGCTGACATGATCACAATGATTTCAACTAAGTAGCCTTATAGTCGTTAAAACATCAAGGAAAGCAATTACCCCTGTTATGACAACACAAACGAGATTTGATAGGACAGAAACGTGTTATTCAACAAGAATTTCTAATTGTAATTGTAAATCATTATCCCGACAGTATGTACAGCTTTTAAATAGCACCATTGTTTTTGTAGTTCCACAGCGATGCCTGGTATTTCAATAAAAAAATACACTCTAAATCACTTTTTGCATTTTTTATTGAAATATTGACAATAGCATTGAAAAAGTGCACGGAAACGATTTTGGTTCTAAGAATAGTAGGGTGTGAACACGTACAAACGTTTTCCATGAAAACAAACAATCTAAAATGCAATGTATATATACTACGGAAGTCAAAATTTACTTTATAAAATGTTTTAAAATTTTAAAGGACAAAGCATACTGCAACAGACTTGATTCATTTCAACGGTTATGTTGAAATCTTCTGAAATACCAAAGCACGATAACACACAATTGCACTACGAGCTAATATGCAATGTTTATGGTTTATACTTTACACTCATAATTTCGTACAAAGTAAGCTGTTTTGCGAAATAACATCAATGTTAATACAAAAAGTAAGTGATTGCTAAAAGTTCGTATTTCTGAAAGAAACAAATCAGATGCTCATGTTTCAACGATCGATGAATGGAAACGGGATTCTCTGAGTTATTATTGGATAAATTTACATGGTTAGTCTTACGAGTTTAATAAGATTGCTACAAGACCGAAAAATCTTATTCAATTATCTTTTTATTTCGGGGCGTTGAAAACCATTGCGCTCCTATTAGGAGAAAAATTACGATTTGTCGATGCCATTAATACCATTAATTTCAACTTAGTAGACTAGTCGTTAAAACAATCCTACAAATTTAAATTTTCATTCAAAGAAAGAATTACTCCCGTTACGACACAACAAACGGGGTTTCAAAATCATAAACTGGCCAAAAGAAAAACACTGTTTACGCGAGCTTGTTGCTTATAATAAAGAGAACGTTTAGCCGATTTCTTCTGTTTTATGGTTCAGACATTCTTGTGTCTGAACAAGACCCATACACTTATTGCGACCCTCAGCACCACACACCCTGAAATACTAGTCACCGTGGCAAGAGCAAATTACAAGTTAATAAAATATATTGCGAGCCTTGTTAGATATACTGTATGTATATGTATAATACATCATGCGAAAAACTACATCAGTCACAAGCCCTAAAACATTATTTATAATAATGCGGTGAATATGCAGTTTGATAGTGCAGAAAACAGTGTTATTCAACAAGAATTTGCAATCCAAAATGCTTAGAGTAACATTCTTATTTTAAAACTGGAGAGTTTTTTTTGCCCAGCTGAACACGATTACTGGAAATGGTGTGCTAAATTGCTATGGGTTTGGAGGTTGAAATTGAATGAGATTATATTTTGATGCAATATACAATACTTCGGCGCACTTCATTTTTCTGTCATCCCTTGTACAGTTCCGATATTTCTCATTTCATTTAATTCAACCTTGGTTTTCTCTTCTTTTGTCAACACATCATCCATACCAACACCATACCATTCCTTCATTGAGCAATAAACTTGGCGATGGAAATTGAGAAACAGTCGGCCGTAAAATTTCATTATCATATTTTCCATGACCTCTTGCAACCCCCTCCACATAAAATTACATTTGACAAGTTTATATACACACATGTGCGGTTGGGCTGAATCCTTTTGTTTCAGTTTCTCCATCCAATCTTCCACCAAAGGTCCCCTTGCAATTCCATCTCTTGAAAATGTGAATTCTTTCGGATCTGTATTTGCTGTGTAATATCTTGAGTCGACTGGGTTATTCACAATGTCAACGTTTATCACTTGCCTTTTATCCAGATCATCTTTAGAGAGACCAAAAATATTTTCTATTTTTCCAAAATCTGACACATGTTTTGATTCAATTGAAACAAGGAAACTATCTTTCATATACTCGTTAGTAATTATGGTTTTGCAATATGGATACCCGTTGAATGATCTTCCATGTACTTGGAGAGATCCACTTGGTGCCAGCTTTCTTATAATAGACGGTGCTTTTGATAGCAAATGATATATTTTGTGAGTGTACTGATGCTTTCCATGCTCATCATTTTCTCTTGGTTCATTTATAACCCATTCTACACCTTCTCCACCTCCAGTTTCATTCTTATTGGCTTCAGTGACAGACCAACGATAAGCGAGTTGATATTCTTCCACACTGATTGGTAAGACGATGCGAAATTCTTTGATAATCATATTGACAAAAGAAACACTAACTAGGAGTTTGTCTGTTAAACATAAAAAAAACTTTAAAAACAAATATTAACTTTACATTTATGACATTTTATATGTGTACAGTATTGCACTCAGGGCGGATTAAGCCCCTTCGGTGCCCTAAGCACTGAAGACTTTGGTGCCCCCTCATGTGTAATTTATTTATAAAAACAATAAACCACATAAGTGTATTATCCATTAAAAATAATCACAACCAACAGTAAACAAAACAAATTTTACGAACATTTTTATGTTTTTTAACTGTTATATATAGCCGATATATATATCGTAAACGGCCGATATGATATATCGGCAAACACGCAATATCGGGCCGATATATCTATTGAGCTATAATCCTGAGGGAGTGTGACAATAAAGATTCATGCCTCCAGTTATATTATATATAAGTCACAACTGTAGTCTGAAATTTTACCGGTACCTAGTAGTCTATACCACAGGGTGGTTCAGGATTGCTAGGTTGAAGGACCGCAAAAACTTTTGAGGAGGTCTCGCGGGCCTTATTATGTTGCATGGGTGGCGTTCTTTTAAAGATAATATATATATATATAAAGACTTCAGTTATTTTAAAGTTAATTCCCGAGAATTACCGTCGCATTTTGCGCATCTCCCGTTTAATGTCGCTTCAAATTATATTCTTTCGTGACAGATATTACTTGAAATTAAACCAGACACTGTGTGATGGGCAAGGAAATACGTTTCCGCCGTGTTTTCCCCATGTCATCTTTTTGCGACACTCATTTTATTACGAATTGTTATATCGAGTAATTTAAAACCTTGCAGCGTGAGCAAGCTTAGTGCTATCGTCATATACCAACCAAGTCCGTTTAAGTTGGTATTTCGGGACCTATCTAAAAAAAATGGATTCTGCGGCGTTAAGTCGGCTCTGCGTTCCGTCACTACTGTCACATGGCCGACGCTCGAAAACAGAGGAGTGTTTTTACTAAAATAAAGGCACGAAGCGCACAAATGCACAGTTAGAATAGCTAAAAAAAACTCAAAAACGTTCCTCCATAACAAATATACGCTAAAATTGTTCTGTGAGCCGCACGGAATGTATCAGCATGACAGGGTTTGGACCACCCTGGTCTACCTTATCAAAAAACTCCCGACTTCGCTGACCACTATATCGTTGAAATGCGATCGTGGAACCGCCACATAGTGTAAATAGTTCATTGGTCCATTTGTTGAAAAGAAAAGAAATTTTTTTAAAACAAAAATGCAGCAACAAGGAGAATACTAGAAGAAAAAAAAAATTTAAGAAAACGACTCATGGGCCCATTTCGTGTCCAATAAATAAGTTTCAGTGTTTATTTTTAATAAAGAAGGCTAATATGATACTTGAAGACGAAAAATAAGCAAACATTTTGAAGTCTGTGTTGTCTGGTAAACTCTGGTTAATAAACACCGATAAACAATTCTGCTCTAAAATTTCTGTGGTGTCCCTGTTTGCTTGGTGCCCTAAGCACGTGCTTATATTGTTTAATGGTTAATCCGGCGCTGATTGCACTATAAAAGCACTCAACTAATCAAAACTTTGATCCAAAACTAAAAAATAATGTATTCAGATATATACCAACATGCGCTAGTCCAATCGATTTTGTGTAATGGGACTGGGAAATTCAAATACTAACCTTGATCAAAAACTGAATCTGAAAACTGAAACATAAAAAACTGAAAATGTCTTCAATATTACAATTATATATCGTGATAATTGCGAATTCATTTACGCAAAAATTAAGAATTTGACAGACTTTTCTACTCCATTCTTCATGCACTACACTTTCTGACAGATTTATTTATCTTTATCTAGCTAGAATGATTAGCTCAAACTGTTTTTATCGCTCTCGGCGACCAAGTAATAATTTTCGCTACTGGATGGAAGCAACATAGTTTACAATAGCTTTTAAGTACAACATCTATAGCGAATTTTACTGCGTTATCAAATGAATAAGATACATAAACGCTCTAATGAAGCAATTGGATTGCCTATAAGTTACGTGCTTTTATCGTTGCACTTTAATCATTTATTATTCCGCCGCATCATATTATTAGTAGCCATAACTAGTCTATTAGATACATTATAGCTAAGTTTCCGTTCTCACGAGCGATTTATTTAAAGTTAATAGAGGCTTTTATGATGTCATATATTGTGGAACAAATCGCAGCATTATCAACATCACATTATCATCAATTATCCTCGTGAGAAACGATGGAATAATTTATTTCATTTCACTAGCGCAAAACAGCTGGACACAAAGTGAACATGATATGGATCGTTTTGTTACTATATTTCACGGAATTCACGTTCACGGTTTCCACGGAAATACTGCTTTATTTATTAAAGTAAAGGTGTTCCAATTGGCATACTTTTATTTCCCACCATTTCTTCATACTCATTTATTCGTGAAGCTGAAATCCCGTATGGTTATTTTTGTGAGAAAATGTACAATAACTAAATACCAAATTTTTGAACACTATATACACAATCCAATAATAAACACTCACGTTTCCTTGCAATATTTTGTTATATTGCCCACTTGAAACAAAGTACAAAATATGTCTCAAATTTGCTTAATTCGCATGATATGATACAATTAATTTGAAATTTGGGTGTCTGAATTTGCAACGACGTACAAATCTTTACATGAATGTTCAATGAGCTGTTTCTCCTGAGACGTTTCTCTAAAACCATATTAGAGATGTTTCTCTAATACTATGCTTTACGTCCCTGCCAGCCGCTTGTATCGATCCCATTTTGCGTCTGGTCATTTATTAACTGCGTATTTCTAAGTTGTATGTAAACCGAAAAATTCTCGATCTGTCTGTCCAATATCTTTGAAAACGCTTGTTCAGAATGATAATTAACGTTGGTAGGAGTCACCGTCCGCAGATAGCCGTACATTCAGACAGGAATTACAACGGTGGGGATAAAGACGAACCGACCGGAACAACCACAAAAGTAACTATATATGCAGATATTTTCTATTCTTATGCTTGTTTATAATGCATAAATATAACTTACTCAAAATGGAATGGAATAATCTTTGATTGTGTACGCATTAACTAGAGGATAAAACGAGAATAGAAAGTGGGGGAATTTGAATCAGGCAACATGTGGTTTCTGGTTCAGGCTAAGTTCAAAACCCGGAATAGCCAAGCAAATATGACCAAAGCAATTCTAACTCCGGAAACCTATTTAGGGTTTTCAGAGCCCATTTGGTATGATTATTTTCACATTTCTCCAATCGTCATCCATGGGACCCTAAAAAGATACCACAATCAATGTTATAATTTTTGCCGAGAAAATTATAATTGCATTTACGGAGGTTGCAAATCGATCACGGACTACCCAGCAATCTTCAACGCAATGCAACGACTATAATTATTGTCGATGATAATCGGCAGTAACGAATCGTAAGCTGATACAAACTTCATTGAAAGGAATTATTATCATCATAAGTTTTGGAGGCTTTTGTCATAATAAAACTCAAAGAACCAAAAGCTTTAAATATTTGGGAGTTGTTTTGATAATAATTTCAGTCAGAAGCCTCATAAATATTGCCAAATTGTCTAAATCTAAAGAGTCAGTTTTATAGACTGGGTAATATATTAGATTTCATAACTCCAAAATTAGTTTGTTACATTTGTTTCGAATATGACTTTGTGTGTTATGATTATGCAGTATGTGTTTTCTCATATCTCAACCAAGTATCGCGAAAACAAGTTCCTGGGTACATGACATTTTCTGAAGAAATTAATTCACTTAACCAAACTCCAACTATACCGTCGTCATGAAATTTTACATCTGTAAAACTGCATAAATGAGAAATTGCTAAGCTTATACATCTACATAAACATTTAGTAATTACTTTGCCGAATATGACACAAATTCTCAAAGAATATATATATTATATATTATTCTAATCAGCAGGCGACAAGTTAAAATTAAAAAAAGATCGTTGAAACAAGATGGTTCACAGGTTTGGGCTATTGTGACACCTGGAAATAAATAAAATCTTTGCTTGTCTATTAACAGGAATACTGTATGAAGAAGATTTTGTTGGCCAAGTACCCTGATTGTCTTCTGCTATATCTCGACCGTATCAATAATTATATGCGATATATATACATCGGATTGGGCAAAAGGGGAAACCGCCCCGGGCAGCACGTTGTATGGGGCATCATAGCCAAGCTGTAGAGTTTGCGGTATTACACACGTTTTTGGACACGAAATGGACATAACGATCGTTTCAATATTATGTTGTTGTTGTTGTTCTTTGACACGTTTTTAAAAAGTCGCTTTTCTCTTCGAATACTGGACCAATTGCTTTGAAATTTTCAGTGGTTGAAGATAAAATTTTTCTCCAGAAGGCTATTACTTTTTTTTTCGCTATAGTGGACATAACGATCGTTTCAATATTATGTTGTTGTTAGTGTTCTTGTTCTTTGACACGTTTTTAAAAAGTCGCTTTTCTCTTCGAATACTGGACCAATTGCTTTGAAATTTTCAGTGGTTAAAGATAATAATTTTCTCCAGAAGGCTATTACTTTTTTTTTCGCTATGACGTCATCAAAATTATGTGACTCTACGTGTCCATATATTTGAGCATAGCTCTCTTGTTATCTCTTATATTTGTATGGATTTTCAAGCTTTTGACAGCTACGAGTTAGTTCAGTGTCATCGCGCTGTGTTACGGTACCAGAATTTCTCTATCTGGGCCTCTGATTGCATTTCTGACCGTCATATATTTTAAGAACACGGTTATTTCGAACAATACCCGTCAAATTATTAACAAAGCACCGCATCACAGCAATCAAACAGACAAAAACACGATGGTCGCAAATTGGTTGACAAAGATATTATCGACGTATTGGAAATGCGCACCCCCCTATTCCCCCTCCTTTGAATGTAGAAACGCGAAACCTTCAAATGTGGTTAAAAGAAACACAACTCTACCCACCTGCCAAGTTTCATCTTTTTATCTCTTATATTTGTATGGATTTTCAAGCTTCTGACAGCTACGAGTTAGT